TATGTAACGCGAAGGGTTGAGTTTCATCCCCAAAGTAATGTATGGGGTGCGATCTATGAGCAGTAGTGGAAGCACGGGAATCCTACAAATACACTAAAGTTAAACAGACTTGCTGAAAAAAAGGGGGAAAAAAAAGTCACAAAACCATTTCAGCATTGAATTACTTTCGGAAGAAGTAGATCTGAGTACGACAGCACTAAACCAATGAAAACTGTTTCGCAAAAAGCCGGAATCTGGTCAAAATAATTTATTTACTATATTTTTCTGAAAATTGTGTCATAAAATTGTGTTTTATAAACTAAAAGGTGAAGCCATTTGGAGCCACTATTGTACAACTATTTTTTTTCTGTATAGCTATTTTTTTCTTCACTTTTTTGTTATTCTTCGATCAAATTGTTCATTTATAAAATGTTCAAATAAAGACATTATTTATATACGAACTAATTACAAAAAGTTACAACTTTCATGTAAAATCGTTCTGATTTCCTTGGTCTATGAAAGCTACCCCCCAAGGACCAGAAAAATATGTACAAAATTATCTACAAAAATTACAGTAAGTACCTAGAAAATCTACAGATTCTATATAGTTACTATACCCAAGATTTGCAGAACCTACAAAATCTACAGAATAATTTGGGATATCTATGCCATATGTAGATAGATCCAGAATATATAAAAATCTACAGAACCCCGTACTGCATCTTCAGTACATGCAGTCAACAACTTGCATACCCTCTAGAATTGTAAATTTGAATGATTCTATAGGATCTACAAGTCTGCAAAAGTACAGAAACAGTCTACATATTAAATAAGATGTAAAAATTAATGTACCAACAGGATATATCGTATCTATAAAATCTACAGAATGTACAGAACCTAGATAACCTAAATTCATGACCTATTTATCAGCTTCAAGGTCCACATTCAGTAAAAACCTACATAATACACATAATTAAAAAATAATCCCCCACCAGGAAATTTAATTACAACTAATTAACGCAACGAAATACAACAACATGCATAATTTATAACAGCGCAAACTATTTATTACTTCGGTGTTGAAATTGGAACTGACCGGAAACACAATTCGATTTGCTTATGTAGCAAACAACATTCTTTCTAGAATGTTCTTGAGTGCTCAAGGACGCTTCAGATTGTTCTAGAACAAACACGTCATATTTCCATGAAAGATTGTGCCACAACCGCCTTCGTTTTTTATCGCCGATTACTAATCTTTCATGGCGCCTCGGTGTGTATCGGAATTTCTGGAAAATTCACCACTATAATAATTTACACACTGTACAGAATCATCTATACATTATATTATATATCATATATCGTACAAGGTCTAACTAATTAACAGAACATCTACATAGCTTACACGATCCACATAACTAAAGGACCAATCTAATAATCCATAAAGAAGACCAATATGATAAACCGATAACCAAATTAGTCTACAGCTTATTGAGGATCCGCAGAATTGAATCAATGTTTATAATATTTAAACCTTCAGACTTCATTTTAGGGGCCCGATTTCAAAAATATTTTTGGGGGCCCTTTCCCTTACGTTTAATTTAACCCCTTCGATTTCAAATGACAGCCATCTCACCAATATAAGTGAAATCACCCCAGAAGATTCGGATTCTGTAACAAAGATGGCACCCCTTTCAAAAAAACTTGATTATTAGGACGATCTACAGGAATTGCTTGTAAAGGCTTCAAAAATTGATTAATTATAATATAACCAGTTTATTTCTTCGCCGTTCAGCGTTTTTTTTTGTTTTCTCGTAGAGGTCACACTTTGGCATTTTCGTCCACTCTGAGAGGTCTGATTTCAAAACTTCAAATACCATTGGCGTATATACAGACACCGCGCTGGAGATACATTAACCTTTAAATACAATGCTGTCATTTTATAACAGTGCCACAAGTTTTTTATCAACAATTTTTAAACAAGGCTAGTATGTATATTGCGATCCCCATGGAAGAAATTTATTACTTATTTATTTATTTATTCAAAAAAAAAACTTTGCAGAACAACAGGCAATGCCCAATAACTGACAACCTTGATAGCGTCTCCTCTCTTCAACCTAAAGATAGCCAACAAGGAAGTTCAAGACTCAAGTACAAGAGCGATGACTCTTCGCCTCCTCCAAAGATCGCCCGAAAATGATTGTTACAGTTTACCATTACCTCGATTTTAAGTTGTTATAATGAAGAAAAGAAATTTCTAATGTAATTATTTTTTTATTTTTTTTGAAAACTTGTCAATATTCACAGAGCTGTATCTCTTGAACTAATTGGGTTACAGATCTCGCACATAGCTCGTCTTTTAGGTAATTTTCTCTACTTCAAAAGTGATAATAACACACTTCCTCTTCAGATCAATCCTTTACTTCTTTTTTTTGCGAAAAACTAAAAAAAGTTACAAACTTTCTCGAATTTCACCCTGTATATCAGCTGGCTCACGTTTCTGAGGGTTGCAAATCTAGATTTACACTGTCTAGGTTGTCTCTAACAACATATTAAAAATGCAAGTTTACAGTATTTTTTGCAATGTTTAGTGTTTAAAATGACTGGCCTATACGTAGGAAATAGTGTCTTGATTTAGCTTTGCTGATTTTGCATTTTGAAATTTGTATCATTTTGTTTTCTGCGTTCAGTCAGGGTCCTGTTGATTTTGATCGAAATTTAATTGTCAAGTTTTGTGTAATATTTGTGCCATAACAAAAGGTAATGCACTTAATTTTAATTGTAATTCTTCGTTTTATGGTAGACCTACTTGTAACCAGCTGTAGGTAACCCCTGAATTTGTTTGTTATTTGCTTGTTTCACTTTAAACGTTAATTTTAAATTTATTTCTTTAAGATTGCCCAGTTATTAATGTTCTTTCGATGTTTAAACTCGTTTAGTTTGATTAGTGACTTCTTTCTGTATGAATCTGCGTTTTTTGCCGTGCAGAGGTAAATGCTGGAGTATTAAAATTACTTAACGACATTCATCTCAAAATACAACTTCAGTCTAAGGTTACCGTAGCCGGGACCTTCAGATACCTTCTGGATTGAAGAAGGTCCCGCTAATTAACAAAGTATTTCCAGGCCTGACGAGAAGGGGGGGGGGTAAACGGGGGGATTTCCCCTGGGCCCGGATTTTGAAAAGGGGCCATTGCATGGTTTTTTGGGAATAAAATTTTTACATCCATAAAGCATATCTACCAATTTCACTAAAATAACATATTTCATATTATGAGTCCTTGATTAGTAGAATAAAGTAATGTGGAATAGGTAAGTTTAAGCACAAAAAAGGGGCCCGTGCTTAACAACCCCCCGGGCCCCAAGTTTATCTCTACGGCCCTGAGTATTTCATGTAGGTACTTTATGTAAGAGACTTCGGAATATTATTTTTCACAAATGGGAAAGGAGCGGAGTTACTTTTAAAATCAATTTGAGCTGGCTACTTTTGAGCAAATCACATTTTTTATTAGATTAAAGTTACATTTAAATTATTCCAATTCAAGGGTTACCTCCTCGGATTGTTAATTTTTCTATAGTGTAGATATTGCTCCAAATTTTTCACTTATATTTACCCTCTGTGAACAATGATTCGGAAGATTCTTCGGCTCGGTTCTTTTGTCCGATTAGTTTAGGATAGGTATATTATCTTATTTTTGTTGAAATTCCAATGCAATTTAGAGTTATTGGTACTCCATGAGACGAGTTAGACCTGTTTTTCGATAGAACCAGAGAAGGAGCATTTTCGGCTTGGTACAAAGAAACTGGGACACGCAACAGCTAGAGCATCTTCCTTTAATAAATGCAGCGACATCATTTTTTTTATTTTTTAGAAGAAATGTTAAAAAAATTCAATTATTCACCAAGTAGAATACTGAATTGAGAAGGGACAGTTATTTCATCGCACCAAATAATCCCTCAAAGGATATTTTTCATGAAAGCTTTAGTTTTAGCAATCACCCCGCACCCCCAGCTGCTACAATTTTAGAATTATAGTATGCACTTTTCGCCAAGTGACACATTATATGAATTCTCTGTACAGAAATACTCACAAAACTCAAATTTTGGATTTTGGATGCGGTCTGATTATAAATTAATTTAAAAAAACCAAAATAAGTACAAAATAAATGAATTTCACACATTTCTTAGCGAATAAATAAATGACTAATTACGAAGCGTTTGTTCTTACGAATCTAATGTCTATTCAATTTCAAGGGTGAGTTTTTGAGTGATTTTCATGTCAAATTCGTACAATTTCAGTTTCTTTGAGCTAACCATTTTTACATGATTTCTTAGGGTTCAATTAAACCACCCCCATACATGAAGGAAATCGACTAATGGGCTTGGGTTCAGAGCAGAAAAATTTATCTTCTAAATACAGGCTTTCACTTTACTACAAACAAAGATTCGTCAAAAATAATTTGTTTGCAAGACCACTTTGCCCCAAACTTCCCTAAACCGTAATTGTTCCGGCGCGTCGGAAAGAAAAAGGGTAGCAATGCTTTTGCACTATTATTTAAGAAAGAAAAACTATAATTGTTCGTTTTCTAATTAGCCAGAGAGCTATTTGGGGTTCTAGACATTTTACTGTTGAATTTATAGGAATAAAGGCTTGATTTAGGAATTAGGTAATTGGAAAAATGTTGCGTTTCGAGAAAATAACACAAGAGTGCGAAAAATGTGCTTACCGTATTCTTTATTTGGAAATCCAAAAGTTGATCGAGAGTTTGAAAGAATAATATAAATAGTCTTGTTCTAAATCTTTCCGAAAGTGGGCAGCATTTGCCGTTCATTTTCAATTGAACTAGAAACTTGCACCTTTAAAGTCCCAAAAGTGTAGCTACCCTTCACTAGATGTCGCTCAGTCCGCGTAGTAAGAAACCTACTCGCAAAAGCAGGGCCCGACCCCGATATTTAAATTAAATTCAAGCGCGACTTCGCGCAAATTCGTAAGTGGCACAAAAAACAACGAGCAGGTTTAAGTACCTTTTGAACAGGTGTTCGTGATTAACAATAAAGTGTAACCGATGTCTACCTTATCTTTATTATTACGTATCAGTTTTACACTTTTTGCACGATTACCAACTCAATATCGGGAGATAGAGTGCCATGTTAGCGTGTAATTAGCGGTTTTTTGAATAATTTAAACTTTTTCATTTAAAAACTGGAGTTTCGGTGTCGTGGCAAGTGCCCGTTTCGTTAGTAAACAAACATAATAATGTCAACGGATAGATTCCACAAGTAAGTTCTATTACTTTCAATATTTACTTTAGATGAATTCGCATTTTTTTAAAAAGCAATCATTACGATATGACGTGATTTTTGATAAATTTATCAGTAATTCTTAATTGTTTAATCTCACATTCTAGGCAACACCTTCTTTTTATATTGAAAATAGGTAAGTATTGTTGTACTTGGTAATATTAATATGAATACCTACTTCACAGAATTTTCTATATTGATGAACCTGTAATTAAAAGTGCCCTTGAAATTTGCGGCATGGGTTAACGGAAGTTCAAATATCTGTACTAAATGCGCTGACCGCTGACCGAGTTCGTTCTTTGTTTATTCCTGTACTTCATTAAAAAATCCATACCATTCATGGAATATATTTAAATATTTTTCGTTCATTGGAGTAAATTCGTGATCATTTAAAGTACTTATTCCGCACCCCCAGTTAATGATCAAACAAAAACGACAGTCCTTAGTTATCAATCGATTATAAGATAAAACTGATAAGACGATTTATATGAAAATTAAAGTAGGTAGGTACTTAGGGCTTCTCGTAGTCTGTAGTCTATTGCATATTTTCATATATATATATATAAGAGAAATGCATATTTTACACAGTATTTCCTCTTCCCATATGTATGGTCAAAGAATACTTAATAATTACTCATTGCCAAAGAGTAACTAAGTATGGTGGTGATGTAGGTAACTATCTAAGGAATTGGGTTGTGCACCCTTCTATACCCTTAATAAACAAAATTAACCCACTTTGTTGTTTAGTGCATCAGCATGTGGATTTTTAGGACATTAACCAAAAGACTGTCCTAAATCTTTGCTATGCCGAATTTCAGAAGACTTGTTTGGTAAAACTCAATTTTCCCATGCAAAATTTAAACAACACATTCCTGATGAGAAAAAGTTGTTAAAGCGGTTAAAAATGGAGGTGAAAGGTTAAGTATGCGAGTCCAAGTCCACGTTTGCCGTTACTAATTTACACACTCAGAATTAGCGTAAACAATTAATTATAAAGTGAAATGGGTACCCACGTTGGATCCCGAAAGGTAGTACTGCAAGTACGACAATTATTTGCACCACCCTACATGTCGATTAGGTGGATTAATGGTCACGGCAAGTCATTAGAAATCTTGTGCGTGAGTGCATCTTTGGTTTTATGAGTTTTTACGCAACATTCACACAGAAATTTACATTGAGCGATTATTGAGGGCGACGAATAAAAAAAATAGGATAAATAGGTAATAACAAACGCAGAAATGAAGAAGGTTCTTACGACATTGGTCGTTTTTTTAATTAAACATGATTTTAATATACAATATGAGACAGAAATTTAAGTCTGGATTACATTATGAGGAGAATTTTTCGAAATGTGTTGGTTTTGTCCGTCCGTCTGCCATTTTGTCCGTCTGTTCCTCCAGAACGAAAAGAGACGGCGATTTAAAACCTTCGTCAATCGATTTCTGCGAGTTCAAGGATCAGTGCTACTGTTAATATGAGCCGGATTAAAAGCCTTGTTTCCGAATGCGAGCCGACTGTCAAAAAATTCCCCTACTGAAAGTCGTGTGCGATTCTTTGCATCTTGTTAGTGCAGGAGTCGATGGAACAGAGCCACCCTCAATCATTGTTTTAATATCAGTAACACCTCCTCATCTTAAATTCATAACAAAATTCGAATCTGTTAATAAATTCCTCAATTTCCTAAACTTAACACTGAAATAGTCCAGGCTAAATAGCTATAAAATAATGTATTTTCAAAAAAAATTAATTACCTAGTGAAACCGGGTTTTTCGGGCAGGTGAAATGATTAGAAATTGGGAAAAAATAATTAAAACAGCTGAATTTTTCCGCGGGTGTAATCCCGGGTGTTGAAAGGGGTGGAATATGGTGTTTTGCAAATTGTGGCATAACTATTAATTTTAGACGAAAATGTTCAATGTAAAAATTATAGAGATTAAAAAAATGAGCAACTTTTGTATCTGCACTATTTTCACATAACCTCCAATTTTCCTAGAAAAACTGTTTTTTAGTTTTTTATATTTATTTTTCCGAAAAAAAGTCGTAGGGGTTTGAAATTTGGAGAAAACATAGCTTGTTTTATGATAAAAAAGGGAATTTTTCGGCCCGTAAAGTTGAACCGTTTCCAAGAATGCATGATTTCTGAAAAAACCACCTCTATTTCAAGGGGATGAAAAATCTATTTTTTTTATCGTACAGAGGTGCGCGGGGTGGCAAAATTTTCGTAAGGACTTACATTTTAATAATCAAAAATAAAAAATATTATTCCAAAAGAAAAATTTTAAGAAAAGCGGCAAAAACTGGGAGAACAGTTTTAAGATATACACTGTTTTTAACATAGTAGGTAAATAGCATTTTTTGCAACCAAATTAACGTATTGGATCCGCGTTAATAAAAAGTTTTTGAAATCTGTCTTCTCCCTCTCCCTCCTTTTGTTTCCTAGTGCCCAACTGCCTTAATTAATGCATCTTTATTGTGTCTTTTTTCTGCATTTTTACCGCAATAAAAGCAATTCGAAGTCTTTTGCTTCCGTAACAATTTCTTTTTGTTCACTAACTCTTCTTTCTGTCTGTTTTACAGCTGATGCGAATGATTCGATTACGCCGAGCCTGTTAATTTACAGGAATTATGAATAAAATCATCAGGAAGTTTATTCCAGGTTTTACATCTCAAATCATTTGCTTTGGCCGGTAAAACTAACGTTCTTATTGCAGATTTTGCAAGTTTATCAACAGGCCCAACGCAATTGCATCAACTATAAAACAGGCAGGAAAAAGAGTCAGTGAACAAAGATAATTCGATTTTATTTCGAATTGCTTTAATTGCGGGACAAATGCAGAAAAAAGAAATAATAAAGATGTTTTAACTAAAACAGTTGAGCATAAGATAACAAAAGAGAATATTTAAGCAAACATTAAAGATAAGCAAGACAGATTTCGAAAAAATCTTTATTAACATTCAACACGTTGATTTATCATGTCAAACACCGTGTAGGTACATACTAGATCAAAAGTTACAGCCCTTTGAATTTTTTGTCGAAATTGGTTTTTTGCCCATAACTTTTGATTGAGACGTCTAATCGAAAAAGTACGAATCGTTTTGGATTCTACGCACCAAAATAAATAAGAAAAAGTTTTTTCCCGAGAAATTTTGGTGCAGTCGATTTTTGGTAAAAAAGGAAGGTAAATAACTGCCCTTTTTTGGCCCGAAAAAAAAAATTGTCTCAGATCGACCGGAAAAAAATATTTTCTTATAGAATCTGGCCTGTAGAATCCATAATTTCAAACAGTTCCAAGATCGAGCTACTAGATCAAAAGTTACAGCCCTTTGATTTTTTTGTCGAAATTGGTTTTTTGGTCGAAATTCGTCGAAACCGTAATATCTCGAGAAGGGTGCGTCGTGGGTATGCCTTCCGACCCCTCGCTGGAAAGGTCTCGACCGGCGCTATCGACGTAGAATCCTCCATAAACAGTTCCAAGATCGGGCTACTAGATCAAAAGTTACAGCCCTTTGAATTTTTTGTCGAAATTGGTTTTTTGCCCATAACTCTTGATTGAGACGTCTAATCGAAAAAGTACGAATCGTTTTGGATTCTACGCACCAAAATTAATAAGAAAAAGTTTTTTCCCGAGAAATTTTGGTGCAGTCGATTTTTGGTAAGAAAGGAAGGTAAATATTATAACTACCTTTTTTTGACCCGAAAAAAAAATTGTCTCAGATCGACCGGAAAAAAATATTTTCTTATAGAATCTGGCCTGTAGAATCCATAATTTCAAACAGTTCCAAGATCGAGCTACTAGATCAAAAGTTACACAGCCCTTTGAATTTTTTGTCGAAATTGGTTTTTTGCCCATAACTTTTGATTGAGACGTCTAATCGAAAAAGTACGAATCGTTTTGGATTCTACGCACCAAAATTAATAAGAAAAAGTTTTTTTCCGAGAAATTTTGGTGCAGTCGATTTTTGGTAAAAAAGGAAGGTAATAACTGCCTTTTTTTGGCCCGAAAAAAAAAATTGTCTCAGATCGGCCGGAAAAAAATATTTTCTTATAGACTCTAGCCAGTAGAATCCATAATTTCAAACAGTTCCAAGATCGAGCTACTAGATCAAAAGTTACAGCCCTTTGAATTTTTTGTCGAAATTGGTTTTTTGCCCATAACTTTTGATTGAGACGTCTAATCGAAAAAGTACGAATCGTTTTGGATTCTACGCACCAAAATTAATAAGAAAAAGTTTTTTCCCGAGAAATTTTGGTGCAGTCGATTTTTGGTAAAAAAGGAAAGGTAATAACTGCCTTTTTTTTGGCCCGAAAAAAAATTGTCTCAGATCGACCGGAAAAAAAATTTTCTTATAGAATGTGGCCTGTAGAATCCATAATTTCAAACAGTTCCAAGATCGAGCTACATATTATCTTAAAACTGTTTTTCCAGTTTTTGGCGATTTTCTCGAATTTTTGCTATAGGAATAATATTTTTTTATTTTTGTTTATTAAAATAGTCTTCCCGAAAATTTTGCTACCTCGCGCACCTCTGGACGATGAAAAAAAAATAGATTTTTCATCCCCTAGAAAAAGACGTGGTTTGTTCAGAAATCGATCTCGGAAACTGTTCAAAATTGTCTCCTTTTTTATCATAAAACAAGCTATGTTTCCTCCAAATTTCAAACCCCTACGCCTTTTTTTGCAAAAATAAGAATAATAATCAAAAAACAGGTTCTTCGGCGGTAGGAAAATTGGAGGTTATGTGTAAATAGTGCAGATACAAAAGTTGTTCATTTTTTAATTCTCTATAACTTTTATATTGAACATTTTCGCCTAAAATTAATAGTTTTGCCACAAATTGCAAAACACCACTTTCCACCCTTTCAATCCCCGTGATTTCACCCGCGGAAAAATTCAGCTGTTTTAATTATTTTTCCCCAATTTCTAATCATTTCACCAGCATGAAAAACCCGATTTGAACCGGTAACTAATTTTTTTTTAAATATTATATAGCATGGACTACAAGATCTTGTTCAGGCCCTCGTTCAGAACCGTAACCAAGATGAAGCAGCAGGGGTGCCAGGCTTAAGAACAGATTATTATCTAAATTAACTGTAAATTCTTATCGTCTACAAATAATGTTTGTGGTTCTTTTTATATTTGTACTTTTAAGGGTGTTAGGGGGTTATTTTCCTCGTTATTTCCCTTTAAACGCACATAAACGCTATGGTGTAGGTGCTATGTTTCGGGGGGTGGTCACGAAGGAGATTTCTCGTTCCAAGGGGTGGATGAGATTTTAGGCGATCCTGGGAAATTCGACAACATCTGAGGAGATTCGAGAGAATCCGATCCTCGCTCGCATTTTTGACTCCTCAGCTTGCAAGGTGCAACGCATTTAGAACGGGGTTGATCTCGCAAGCACATACGTTTGTTGCTTTACATTTTTAGTTTAATCCGCAAAAAGGTGGATTTGTACAAAAAAATTTGTGTTGTCAGTTAGATAAAGGTTCCTCAGCTTGCATTCGTTAACCAGACTTTTAATCCGGCTCATATTCAATAGCACTGATCCTTGAACTCGTAGAAATACACTATGGTTTGGCATCGCCGCCTCTTTGCGTTCTGGTGTTAGACAAGGCACAGACGAATCACATTAAGGGAATTTTTTTTCTTTAGAAAAATTAACCCCAACAAGGGTTGAAACAAGCGAAATTTATGACAGAAAATCTTTAACAATAAGAAGATGAACGAAACCTAGAAGACATTCAAATGTTTGATGGATCTATCAAAATGTTGCATTAAAAACCTATAAGTTTATCGTGGTCACGATCAGACAGACAAATTATACTTTGTACAAAAATTTAAAAAAAGTTAAATAGATAGGTACTTGAACTGTAAAAGTGTACTTTGTGTCTATGGATATATGGATGATTTTAGAATCTGTGTTTAGTAGGTATCGCAGTAGGTTTAATGTAATTTTGTTTTTCTACGACCTCCCTGAAAATGAGGTCATAACGTATAATTTAGAGGCATATACAGGGTCATTCTTGACGAGCGTCAGTTAGAAAGATATGGAAAACCTTTGAAAATTAAGCTGAACTGATAAGTCCCTTAAAGGTTTTGGCACATGATGAATTGAACTAAAATATTTTCAAAATGGCGCCACTTCCGGAAATACCGGAAGTAGCCATCAACTTTGTTATTTTAAATAGGGACCCCCTATTTTTTCTACATTTTCGGATTCTACGTCGAATTTGGAGTACAACGATACCCCATAGTTGACCCTTTGCTCCAAGGGCTTCGCCGATATTCAAGTTTTTGTGTCAAAAATTGAATTTGCAGGGGTAACTTTAAAAATTTATTACTCGAAAACGGTGAGAGATATTGCAAAACAGTTTTCAATGCTTTATTAAGGAAAGATCGAATTTTCTTATGGTATGCGTAACCGTCTAAAAAAGTGAGACTACGTCACTTTTTCAAAGCTCTCAACTTTTAAACTTTTAAACATCCGTAACTCCATTTTTTCAAATGGCAGCTCCCATTTTGTTCTTCACCCTTGTTTTCCTTTTTCCCAGACCTTTAATTTGATGCAACATTTCAAAAGCTGCTTCAAACGGTTTCCGAGATATTCCATGTTTTAGTTACTTCTTGTGGAAAGTTGATAAAAAAATTAAATCGCTTGATGTTATTCTTTTGTTTTTATTATGATAATGTTTAAACGTCAAATTTTCGCTGCTTTTCCTGGCAGCTATTCGATTACATTCACCGTGTATTAATATTAAATTCAAAAAATCTTCATTAGTGTAAGCCAAACGAGCCATTATTGACGAGAAGTATAAGTTCAAGAGGGCTACGGTTGGTAGAAATTAATTCCTTTCATTGAGATCTTTCATTAGAGTACCATGAAGGATAAAACTAGTTCCACTCCCCCCCTTCCCCCTCGTACTTTGATAAGAAGACAGAAAGAAGGGTAGTAGTTGGGTAGTTAATTAGAATACAATGAGAGATAACATTAATTTTCCCCCCCCCCCCCAGACCCCGTCGCTCACTGATCTCGAAAAAGAATCGCACAGGAAAGTTATATGTAGTTTGTACAAACCAATTTATTTCGATGAGACCTTTCATTAGAATACCATGAAGGGTATAACATGTGTTTACTCCCCCCCCCCCCCCATTTCCTAAAGTTTAACATAGCACCACTAAAGGCATGCGTATGCAAAATCACCAACTGGTTGTCGTATGTAAAAGCTATGCACGTTTTACTTTCAAAAACAGCATCTCAGGAAATAATTGGGGGGGGGGGGCCTTTTAGACAGCGAAATTTGATGGCCATCTGGCACACCTTTAAGGTATAGGCTACATACTGCAAAAAATTCCAGGACTCTAGGACCATTCCTCTAGAAGTAATTCAAAACGGTAGAAGTGGGTCCGGACGGACGGACGGACGGACAAAATGCAAACAAAAGCACATTTTTTTAATTCTTAAAAATGCGCTAAAAATCAGAATACATCAAGTACGTTTGGAATGATAGTTATATACAAATGCCAAAACTGCCAATAGACGTCGTTTTGGGTTTTGCCTTATTTTCATTTCGAAATTCATGGAGGTCGTAGAAAAAGTATGGTTTAGGTACGCCATTGCGTATTACAGATTATTAGAATTTTTTAGCGCATTTTTTAAGAATTAAAAAAAATGTGCTTCTGTTTGCGTTTTGTCCGTCCGGCCGTCCGTCCGGACCCACTTCTACCGTTTTGAACTACTTCTAGGGGAATGGTCCTAGAGTCCTGGAATTTTTGGCAGTAGGTAGCCTATACCATGAAGGTGTGCCAGACGGCCATCAAATGTCCGTGTCTAAAAGTCCCCCCCCCCCCCACGAATTATTTCCTCAGATGCTGTTTTTGAAAGTAAAACGTGCATAGCTTTTACATACAACAACCAATTGGTCTCAGATTTTGCATACATATGCCTTTAGTGGTGCTATGTTTGGGAATGGGGGGGGGGGGGGGAGGTAGACACATGTTCTACTCATCAAGGTATTGTAATGAAAGGTCTCACCGAAATAAATTGGTTTCTACAAACTATACATTTCCCGTGCCCCTCTTTTTCGAGAACAATGAGCGACAGAGCTTGAGGGGGGGGGGGGGGGGGGGAGGGGTTAAAAATTAATTTCATCTCTCAGGAACCGTTTTCTACCAACTACTGCGGTTCTATCTATCTGTCCTCTTATCAAAATACGGGGAGGAGGGGGAGGGGGGAGTGGAACTAGTTTTATCCTTCATGGTACTTTAATGAAAAGTCTCAACGAAAGGAATTAATTTCTACCAACCATAGCCCTCCTCCTCGACCTCTTATCGTGATCGGGTACGTTTCAATTGAAATGTGTTCTGCAAATCGGAATTCAACCCCTCATTTTTTATACATTATACACTTATACAGGGAGTCCTTAAAATTTAAAGGTCCGTTCTGTAATAACAGATACAGTAGGTACCTCAAAATAAGCACAAATTGTTAAATAAGCAAAGGTTATAGCGGCTTGAAAGATTTTACCGAAGGGTTGATCTCGATGTGTATTCTTGTCCCTCATATAGGAAATTTCGAGGGAAAAGCTGGGAAATGGACGAAAGTAGAAGAAGTTCTAGGGAAATGTTAGGAAATTTTGCGGAGGGCATCCAGAGGAAATGTTAAAGAAATAAAATGGTTTCTATAGGAAAGTAGCCTTACTTATTTTACGTGAATTCGGAGAAATTATATGTAAACTTGGGAAAATTTAAGGCAGTGCTATAGAAATATTGAGGAAATTAAGTGAAATGGTGGCAATTTAGCAATGAAGGAAATCCCTTAAAATAAGTCGTTACCAAACCTTCAGTTAATTTTACTTAGCTAAATGTTGTTTTCGGTTTAGTACAAAATAAACGTCAGTAAAAGCCAAATTAAACAATTATTTCAATAATTGTTCAAAGTGTGGCACGTTGATTAACATTATTAATAGCTGCTCGAGTAGCTGCTAAACATTCCTCAGCAACGATTTCGTCCGATGCGACTCCAATTCTGTCTTCCAGTTAATAATTTGAAAACGAAGCAAGATTTATGCTTATTTTGAGTTATTGTATCTGCTAGTCCAGGGCGAACCTTTAAATTTGAAACACCCGAGGAAATTCGGGGGAGATTCGAGGAGATTTGAGGGAGAACCACAGGTGATTGGTGGAGATCCAAGGATATTCGGAGGAAATCCGAGGACCGGGGAGTCTGATGGGGTTGTGGAATACTCCACAGCAATGAAAGATAATGATCATAAGATCCATAACAACATCGTATACGGGTGGGGTGAGGGGGGAGTAGGGAGCGATCACTCTGTTCCTGGATCGCAGCCCAGACCCCCCGGTGCTACGTTCGTCCTCAGTATAGAACCGAGTGGTCTAGGGAGTACGGAATACCCGTAAACGTTTTAGGGAACAATTAAAAAAAAACCGAGGAGGTCTGAGGGATATGGAATACCCCCCCCCCCAGCAAAGTCCCCCATGTTATATTACATTTTCTTATCATTAATTTACAACTGTTTACCATTCGTCCAAAACTTCTTAATTTATTTAACCACAGATCTCAGTAAAATCTTACTTTGGAAAAATTGTATTAGTTTCTTTTGCTTCCAGCTCGTGCCCTAACACTAAGCTTGTCCTAATCGATCGATAAGTACATGAAATAGGTACCTAATACCAAACAATAAGTTACTCTTTGCTAATACTAAACATAAGACTAAACAGAGCAGAATAGGCCCACTTTTCCAGAATTGTGCTGATTTAATTGTTAACTGACAGTTAATATCCACGTAGAGAGATGAATTTCCCTGGAAATTACTTGTTCATTCACCTTTTGCTTAATTTAAAACTTTTCTTTCCAGAGCTGCCAAAGATGGTCTCATCGAAGTATTGAAAGAGACCACCAGAAGAGACTGCAACGGAAGAGATGAGCAAGGGATGACACCCACATTATACGCGGCTTTCTATGGCCATTTGGAAGCGTTGCGGCTACTCTGTGGAAGAGGGTAAGTAAAAACTACCCTTATCCTAGGATGTATACTAAAGTGACACAGCCTCGGTAGCGCAGTAGGTAGCGCGTAAGTCTCATAATCTTAAGGTCGTGAGTTCGATCCTCACCCGGGGCAACTTTTTTTTCTTTTGCCTAAAATGCCAATATTTCCAGAGGCGATCCCGATAAGGCGGACTATTTTGGCAATACCGCCCTTCACTTGGCAGCGGCACAGGGACACAAAGCAGTCGTCACGTTCCTGGTGAATTTTGGGGCCAACATTTACTCGATGGATATCGACGAGCATACCGCTCAAGAATTGGCAGGGATAAATAGCAGAGAAGAAATTTTGCGCTATTTAGATAACGTCACCGCCAAACTTGAAGCCGGTGATAAGAAAAAGTCGAAAAGTATGAAGGAAAAGGCAAAGAAGGACGCTGAGAAGAGGATTAAGGTTTGTCAACACCTGGTGCCATGGTAATCTCTTCAATTTTGCTTTAGAACTTCAACAAACGGCAAGCAAAGGCGGACGCCCAAGCTCAAAAGTACCAAAAACGCACACTAAACGAGTATACCAAACCGTCAATGATTAACACTCTAAGACACAGGATCAAGAGCGGATCCATGTCAAACTTATCGGTCACCGCCCAACCTCAACCGGCAAAGAACAGCTTCAGCGCACTAGTGAGCGGTGGCACTCTGTCAGGGCTCAAAAGTGTAACCGGCACCGTGCAGCGCAAAATCTTAGCCAATAAAAACAAATTAGCAAACGACGACGACTTCAAGGTCAGCGAAATTGAGGACGGTAAACGCTCGGTTAGATCACTGACCGGGATCAAGCGAGATTCGGAGGTGATGTACGGCGGAACTCTGGACAACCCCCGCCGCGGCCGCCTAAATGACGTATTCAACGATGACAACTACCTGGAGACGTCGGTCAAATCCGACGGCGGGGACACGCTCACCAACGGCGTTCTGAAACGCTCAGTTTCGCAGCCCGACTTCATGCAGCAATTGGGTAACAGCGACGTCATTCAGCAGGAACCCGCAAGCATATTCGTCAGACCTGGGGTTGGCAGTTTTGCTTTCACCAAAAGCATTACGAACACCCTCCAAGCCTTATCAGTCAACGAAACAATGATCGAAGCGAGCTCCATAGGTTCCGCCGGCAGTTTGGCCGTGAGGCAGAGGCAATTTATTTCGCAGCCCTTCGACGACGAACTGTCAGGTAAAGCTACTTGGACAGTTATTGACCCACTAATAGTCGCCGTTTTTTCAGATCCAGAGTCGAGCGATGAGGAAAATTCAAATACTCCACTTGAAAGGTTCCTGGTGGCGTGGGGTCTGGGCGAGTACATGTCGAGGTTTGAGGAGCAAAAGATAGACCTCGACACTCTCCTACTGTTGACCGAGAGCGATTTGAAGTCTTTAAATTTACCTTTAGGGCCATATAGAAAGCTTGTTACTGCAATATTGGAAAGGAAGACTGCGTTACAGAACCCTGGTGAAGTTGTAGATGGACAACTTTAATGGTCCCCTTTTGGCAATATTTACACACGTATCTAGTTATTATTTATAAAGCCAGATTCACATAACTAAAGTTTGTAGTATAAGCTGTGATGTACCTAAGAAAATAAATAAACAAAGTGATAAGATGAGGTACTTTCTGCCTCAAATTTTTATATTTAAATTTGCAGTATGTTTGGTTGCATATAAAACTAGTGTTACAGAGCGCATGATAGAGACGAGGGGGGCAACGAGTTCCTTCATTTGCCTAAAAATTAACGTAATTTCTCTTAATTTCCCCAACATTTCTAGCGTTGCATTAAGTTACACAAAATTACTTTGAATTAACCGGAAAAGAGTATCCCCTACAGAATCCTTCTTTAAAATTTCTAGCTTTCCTAGATTTTCTCAGAATTTCTTCTTATTTTCGTTAAAATTTGCTAATATTTCCCTTGAATTTCCTTGAAATTGTCTCCTATTCCCCCAAAATTTGAAAGAAAATTCAAAGGGCTGTAACTTTTGAACTAGTAGCCCAATCTTGGAACTGTTTGAAATTATGGATTCCACAGGCCACATTCTATAAGAAAATTTTTTTTCCGGGTAGATCTGGGACAATTTTTTTTTCGTAGCTGAAAAAAAGGCAGTGTATAACCTTCCTTTTTTACAAAAAATCGACTGCACCAAGATTTCTCGGGAAAACACTTTTTCTTATTAATGTTGGTGCGTAGAATCTAAAACAATTCGTACTTTTTCGATCGGACTTCTCAATCAAAAGTTATGGACTAGAAACCAAATTTCGAAAGAAAATTCAAAGGGCTGTAACTTTTGAATTAGTAGCCCAATCTTGAATGTTCAAATTATGGATTCTACAGGCCAATTCTATAAAAAAAAATTTTTTCCGGGTAGATCTGAGACAATTTTTTGTTCGTAGCTCAAAAAAAGGCTGTGTATAACCTTCCTTTTTTACCAACAATCGGCTGCACCAGATTTCTCGGGAAAACACTTTTTCTTATTAATTTTGGTGTGTAGAATCTAAAACAATTCGTACTTTTTCGATCGGACTTCTCAATCAAAAGTTATGGACTAGAAACCAAATTTCGAAAGAAAATTCAAAGGGCTGTAACTTTTGAACTAGTAGCCCAATCTTGGAATGGTTTGAAATTATGGATTCCACAGGCCAAATTTTTTTTTCCGGGTAGATCTGAGACCATTAATAAGAAAAAGTGTTTTCCCGAGAAATCTTGGTGCGAAGGTTATAACCTGCCTTTTTTTGAGCTACGAACAAAAAATTGTCTCAGATCTACACATAAAAAAAAATTTTCTTATACCTAGAATGTGGCCCGTAGAATCCATAATTTCAAACAGTTCGATCAGTCCGATCGAAAAAGTACGAATTGTTTTGAATTCTAAGCACCAAAATTCATAAGAAAAGGTGTTTTCCCGAGAAATTTTGGTGCAGTCGATTTTTGGTAAAAAAGGAAGGTCACTGTCTTTTTTTGTGCCACGAAAAAAAAAATTGGCTCTTTTCTATGAAATTGCCTCCTATTTCCCCAAAATGTTGTAATATTTATCTCCTCCCTATAGACTCCTGTTATTTCTTCAAAATTTCCTCTAGATTTCCTCTAGACTTTCTCAGAATTTCTTATTTTCTCAAAATTTTCTAATATTTCCCTTGAATTTTCTTTGAAATTGCCTCCTATTCCCCAACATTTTGTAATATTTCCCACCTCCTTATAGACTCCTTTTACTTCTTTAAGATTTCCTCTAGACTTTCTCAGAATTTCTTATTTTCTCAAAATTTTCTAATATTTCCCTTGAATTTTCTTTGAAATTGCCTCCTATTCCCCCAATCTACTTCCGTCCATTTCTTAGTTGTTTCTTCGAAATTTCCTGTATGAGAAACAAGAATTTCCCTCGTGATCATCCCCTCGGATGGAGATAGACAGGAGCTTCCCATTTATTCAAAGAAGATAAAGCACTTGGCTGCTTGTAAATAGTTCTCCTAGTAGGCGGTGTGTTGCCTTTATTTATGCTGTGACAAGCACACCCGTACGCCTGCGCGTGCTCATTTTGGAGCTGAAAAGCTCTTTCTTTTATGTCTAAAAAGATGTTTAGCCAGAAATGGGTGCACAGACAGACCGACATATCGAGAGACCGACATGATCGAGATTTTGTTGCGGATTTCTGGTGCTTCCATCAATAAAGTGGGGTGAGGGGGGGGGGGATTTTTATCCCAATATGCAATACCTCCCCTACTAACGTTCGGGGGTAATACAAAAATTACTAGAATGGCGTGCCAGCGACGGTAACACAAAAGCTTAAATTTAGGAAGGAAGTCATTTGACTTCGAGCTTAAAGGGCTTAGCATCCTTAGGTAGCGTGGGGTATTAAAATGCACGATCGCGGTGCTGACTCAGACAGATAGACAGACAGACATCAAAATCGCAAAAGTGCACTTTTTATTTTTTGAAAGTGAAAATGCACTAACAAAATTGCTTGTCAAAGATGTCGCCACTAGCCTGAAACAGATCAATGATTATTCATTGACAGTAACGAGATAATTTTGGAATTTTATTGGATTCGGCTAAGCAACGCTGCTAAGTTGCCCAGGCCTCAGTGTGAAGGCGCACTAAGAGCAGCCTAGTGGGACTCCTACTATGTAATTGGAGCCCTAAACCCTCCGCCACTGGATGAATACCAATATGTCGATAATGTAGATTCCTATTACAGTGACGGAACTTCCTCGTTTTCTAACCTATAAGTTAACATAAGCATATTGTGGAACACGTAAATTTATCTAAAGTTCTCATCTTTAAATGACTATGACGGACGGATCAACTGGGGAAGGTGTTCCCCATTTTTCGGCGCCGGTTATACAAGATAACCCCGTGGGATGGGGACCGTGTGAGATGCCTGACCAGTTTCGCGACATTCCCTACCAGCCCTTCAGCAAGGGCGATCGTTTAGGGAAAATAAGCGACTGGACCGGTGCCGCGTTTCAGGATAAGAAATACGCAAGTAAGTAGTTGCCATTTCGCGGTTTCCAATTTAACGATCGCACGAATCGTAGGCAAGTACGCGTCGCAGTTCGGCTCGGGCAGCCAGTATGCTTACTACCACGACGAGGACGAGAGCACCTTCCATTTGGTCGACACCACTCGTGTTCAAAAACCGCCGTATCAGCGCGGACGGTTCAAGGGTAACCAAAGGAACATGCGCGGGAGGGGAATTCGCGGCGGCTTATCCGGAGGAATGCAGGCTTTGGGCAAGGGAGTTAAGGCGAGAGATCGTGACCGTAAGAACCAAATTAAGAAGTGGTCGCAAGGTCGCGTACGTACCGGGGGTTTTGCATGCTCGATTAATTAACGGTCGCATTTCAGCCTCAAATTAAGATCAGAGACGCGTCCGTTACGGTTCGCCCCGACTGGGTTACGATTGAAGAAATGGATTTCCCGCGTTTAGGGAAATTGTCTTTGCCCAGTATTAAAGACGGTAAGCCTTCCTTGACCTTGCAGGACGTTAAGTGTACCGCTTTTTTTAGGTGAGGACGTTTATTGTTGTGGCGAATTGGAATATTACGATAAAACTTACGATCGCGTGAACGTTAAGAGCGAGAAGCCTCTGCAGCGCATTGATCGTATCTTCCATACTGTACGTACTTTTGCCGTCCCGTTCCATTCCCACTGATTTATTTGCCTTAGGTAACGACAACCGACGACCCGATTATTCGAAAATTGTCAAAAACTGAAGGCAACGTGTACATTACCGATACAATTCTGGCGACTATTATGTGTTGCATTCGGTCAAATTACTCGTGGGATGTTGTCATCGAGAAACTTGGTGAGTGAGCCGGTTCGTAACGAGTACGGTATCGCTTAACGATGAATTGCAGGTGACAAGTTGTTCTTCGACAAACGTGACAATACCGAATTCGATTTGCTTACTGTAAACGAAACCTCCGTGGAACCGCCACAGGATGACGGTATTTCGTTCAATACTCCCAGAAATCTAGCCCTGGAGGCAACATTTATCAATCACAATTTCAGTCAGCAAGTAAGTGACTCAGTTTCCACCAGGTTTCATTGGTCGAACAATTGAGTGTCTAATTTTTGATTGGTTGTTGAGATCGGCGGCCATGTTGCATCAACTTTCTGCTAAATGTATGTGGTTATTGTGTGTTGCCTACACTACACTGAATTTTTGATGCAACATGGCGGCTGGGCGGAGCTTGTCAAAAGAGAAAAAATAGGTTTGATTGGTTGTTGAGATCGGCGGCCATGTTGCATCAAATTTTTGCTAAATGTATACGGTTATTGTGTGTTGCCTACACTGCACTGTATTGGTATTTGATGATTTCTAATTTGAATTTTCGATGCAACATGGCGGCTGGGCGGAGCTTGTCAAAAGAAAAAAAAATAGGTTTCCTTCATTGCGTTCTGGATTTTTCCCTAAAACTTACCGCCAGAATATGCTCTTATAATTTCCCAGAATGTCCTCCCGTGCGCTGTACAGGGTGGCCAACTAAGAATGCGAGGTACTGTATCTGAGAATCTATTCATCGTAGAGGCTTGCGGTAAAAAATTTATTACTAAAACGGCCACGATCAAAACCTCGAAAATAGGGGGCGTAACTGCAATCTGGAATCTAAAGTCACTAGATATAGAAAGCCATGGGCGTACGCAGGGAGGGGCAAGGGGGGGGGGGCAGCTGCCTCCCCTTGGCCTGGCCACAGGTTACGTTTTGTTTGTTAAAAAATATCTGTAAGAATTGTCTTTTTTCAATTTGCCTAAAATTCTACCGATATACCGAAATGGCCTTTATATCTACCTCTGTATCTACCTATCTATTTTCGCCCCGTGTTTTTTTTTTTTTGAATATTTAATACAAAATTAATTGATATAAAAGCGGTAATATTTTGAGCCAGATTTTGAGATATAATACTCGTAATTTTGAAGACGTTTTTAGTAACTATTACCTACTAAAAATAAAAATGTATATTATGTGTTTCATTAAACATTTTTTTCCCACAATTTTATTTTTTGCTTTTGATGAAGTACTGCTCAATTTTTAATTATTTGTAAATGAGGTTGTAGATTAAAAAGTGAATTTTCAAATAATTTAATTAATAATTTATTTATTTTTTGCCCCTCCCTACACCAAAAGTTGCGTATGCCCATGATAGAAACTACCGCAATCATCCGTCATTTTTGGGCAAATTTGCTGCCAACTTAAAAAAATTGACAAATAAAATCTGAATAGCTGGCATTTTTTATAACCTAACTTCATAGTACTGTCATGTTTTATAAAAATATATACAGACATCTCCAAACAGGTCGAACAATCCCTAACATTGAAGTTTTAGAATCTGGTAACTTCCGCCATTTTTGGGCAAAAATCATGCGTTCTCTCTCTAACACACGAGCCCAAGGGATTGCGGTACTTTCTATATTTAGTGACTTTACTGGAATCTAAAAAAGTGATGTTTCTGTGAATTCCGCTATATTAACCTAACAAAAAAATGTCCGGTCGTTGAAGTTGACGATAATCTGAACAATTTTTGTTTGACAATTTTTCCTGTATCTCTAAAAATGAAGTAGTGGGGGGTATTCAAAGGTTTCCATAAAGAACACCCTGTATCTTCGAAACGGCTGGGCCGATTTAAACAAACTCGGGTTAGTTCAAAAGAGCTATTCTTCTGCTGCAAATATTATACTATTTGAAGTTTTGTTAGTTTCACATATCACCGCTTGAGGGCTTTTTTCGACATTCTGACAGAAATGGTTAATTTTCTCAACAAAATTAAATGCATTTTGCGATTTTTTTTTCATGAAAAAGTAGCTAAATGATGTCTAAACAAGCTTGCGAAAACAGCATCTCGATATCTTGAGATATATATATATTTTTATATCGTGATGGCCAGCATTTCGAACATTTACGGCGGAATTAAAAGCTCCCTTTTTTAAATACATCTACCTTAGGGTCACAAATTATATAATAAAAATAATTCCGGAAAAATTAGCTTAAAAAAATAAAATTTTCAGGGTATACAATTTTCTTTGGCCTAAATTTTAGGTTAGGAACAAGATATCGAGATGCGGTTTTCGCGAGCTTATTTAGGCATCATTTAGCTACTTTTTCATGAAAAAAAAAATCAAACCAACGCATTTAATTTTGTTGTGAAAATTAACCATTTCTGTCGGAATGTCGAAAAAAGCCCTCAAGCGGCGATATGTGAAACTAACAAAACTTCAAATATTATAATATTTGTAGCCGAAGAATAACTCTTTTCAATTAAACCGAGTTTGTTAAAATCGGCTCAGTCGTTTCGAAGATACAGGGTGTTTTTTACGGGAACCTTTGAATACCCTCCACCACTTCATTTTTAGAGATACAGGAAAAATTGTCAAACAAAAAAGGTTCAGATTATCGTCAACTTCAAGGACCGGACATTTTTTTGTTAGGTTAATGTAGCGGAATTAACAGAAAATCACTTTTTTAGATTCCAGATTGCAGTTACGCCCCCTAGCGGCCATTGCAGAAACTTAAAAATATTTTCCAGGTTTTTCTCATGGCCGTTTTAGTAATAAATTTTTTTACCACAAGCCTCTACGATGGACAGGTTCCCAGATACAGTACCTCGCATTCTTATTTGGCCACCCTGTACATTTTTGCAACTGCTTGTGTGAGCAACTTCTGGCATTTATTGGGGTCAGGAGGTTGGGGGTCCAACAAAACATGAAAAAAATGAAATGGTTTCCAGAATTTGGAATGCATAGATTACAAAACTTTAATTTTTTAAAATCTGCATGGGGGGGGGGGGGGGTTGAATAATTTATCTATTGCAAAAATAATTACAACGCAGCTGGGTTTCTGCTTGTTGCATATTTTTCGCGTTTCTGTGCGGTTTAAAAAATTAAAATAAGTTTTTTTCAAAACTCGCAAGTGTTTTCGTTGTGTTTTTGTTTGCACGTGCGTGTTTGTTGGTCACTGACATTTTTTGAGAGTTGACATCAAACCGTACGAACTTATCAACGGCACTATTATTGAGCCTTCGTCATTTATTAACAGTAAACTCAGGCAAGTTTCATTTTTATTTTTTTTTTAAATGACTCAATTTGGATCAAGTTAGTTTCTTGAGACAAATTCGCATCGATTCTGAGAAAATGGCACCTAGGAAATTTCCCCGAGCGGCTGGGGAGCGTCGACGTGTGGGTTCGCTTCTGTATGGTTCAAGGTAGGACATCGCGGCGCCGGTTAGGATAGGGATAGTTATCGCAAGTTTAAGCGAGGTTGAAGAAAATTCCTACGGCGTCCCGTCGAATCAGCTGCCGTAAGAACTAAAAATCTGGAAAAAAATTTATAACTCGAAAACGGCACCGAATTTCCTATTGCGGTTTTCGGAGATCGTGGGATCGCGGAATAACTTTAATAATTTAATAAGATTAAAAGTTAATAACTTTACGAATCTAAGGAGGCGAGACGTCGTAGCCGGTGGGCCGAGCGTATGTCTCATCAAAATCAAAACGAGAAAATTTTAGCAAACAAAATGGACCTGCCTGAAGTCTTAAATGCTAACCTATACGATGAGATTTACTAAAAAACGATAAGACTATCAATATATTGGTGCTTTTTTGAGCCGAATCAAATTTCTTTGCGCTTTTTTGCCTTTAAGAACATTCCAATGACGCTTACTACAATCCTAACTCCATTCCCACAAGAATCAAGCAAAAAAATTGACCTATTATTATTGATATATTAACTGTTAACTAGTTATGTCCTTAGCTAAAATAAATTAATAATAAATAACGTTACGTTTAGGTGTTACGTACCGGTCAAAATGAGCCCCGCTACAAGTTTGATAATCCCAATCCCTTCATTTCCGAAGACGAAGAGGGAGAGGTCGCTAGCGTCGCCTACCGCTATCGTAAGTGGGATCTGGGTGGCGGAATTGTAAGTGTCAACGTAACCGTCTCTCGCGCGGCTAAAATCAGTTTGGTGTGTATAGGTTTTGGTGGCAAGATGCGAGCACGACGCCGTCGTCCAATCGCCCAGTGGCGAACTTCAATATTTGACAATAAAGGCGTTGAACGAGTGGGACTCCAAGTCGGCGAACGGCGTCGAGTGGCGCCAAAAGTTGGACAACCAACGCGGCGCCGTCCTGGCGAACGAGCTTCGAAATAACGCCTGCAAGTTGGCGAAATGGACCGTCCAAGCCCTACTCGCGGGAAGCGACCAAATTAAGTTCGGCTACGTGTCCCGCACGCACGTGCGCGACAACAGCAAGCACGTGATCTTGGGCACGCAGCAGTACAAACCCCACGAGTTCGCCAGCCAGATCAATTTGAACATGGACAACGCCTGGGGAATTTTGCGCTGCATCGTCGATTTGGTTATGAAGCAGAAAGATGGCAAATTTTTGATTATGAAAGATCCGAATAAGCCGATGATTAGGCTTTACGACATACCCGACAATACCTTCGAGTCCGATGGCGACTCCGAGTCGGACGACGAAGTTGCTCCGGATGCGTCGACGTTTCAAACACTTTACCCTTATACAAACAGTGTGAAACGTGTTTAAGTATTCAGTTTATCGAAAATTATTAACTTGCTTTTATAAAAACTAATTAAAGGAGTCATTTAAATTTTTTTGTTAGGTGGAATAATAAAAACATTTTTGTATTCTTTTTTTTGTGTCTACTTTTTAGCATCCTCATCAAAGATGGTCTATCGACGAAAAAATCAAATAATCAACCCTTGAATCTAAATGGCTGTGTGGACATAGTGGAAGGTAAGGTTGGCAACTCTGGCAAAAAAACTACAAACAGAGCCACCTACCTTTCAAGTCGAAACGAGGGACGTTTCGCGGCACTTTTGAATCTGGATGGCAGTCGGCTTGATATGGGTGGCACGAATGAACTCCTACGTTGTGTGATCGGTTCTTGTATGTGTTGGGACGTGAGACAAGAACAAATAAATATATTACGCACACACAAAGCCATGCCAGGGAAACCTTCCACGGGGCTAAAACCCTGACATAGGCCACACAAATACATGAAATAAATCACCCACAGCAAGAGAAAATACACATAAATAAAACATCTCAAATTGTCGGATAAAAATTAGATAATCAAATCAAATGCAATTAAACAAGTTCATAAAAACAAAATACACAAGACATAAATGCAGTGGAAAACATGATAAATCAATTCAGTATAAAAACACATCAAAATACCTGTACGATCAATTGAGATAACACAACTCGTAAAATAATAAATTGCATGTACATAGGAAACATGTAAATGGTGTGTCTCTACTTCAGCCTTCTGTTAACGTAATTTACTTTAATACGAAAAGTACATGTGAGAATGCCATTGGCTAATAGCACAGTATTCATGTGAAAATCGATTATCGCTCAAGGAGAACATATTTTAATAGAGGAAATGTTAATGAGAGGGCCCTTACTCGTATTGCTAAGATGTTAAGAACATACAATCCGCACGAGACGAGTAGGCAACAGATACAGCGAAAATAGCTAGTACAATAATGAATAAAATGGTTCCTACCTGTAAATAGACCTTCAAAGCACCACCACCAAAATAATCAAGAATAAAAAAACTGGGAACACGTGATGCCTTTCCTCGCCATCTTCTCCATTCTCCCCTAGCTCCGTTACGAAAATCCCCTAGTATTCGGCATCTGCGCAAAACGGTCGATTGGTTATATACAGAGCATATCATATTTTTGTTTCAGATGTAAAGGTGTGTTGCCTAACCATAAGGGTGGATTATCACAATTGTAACGTTGCAATTCATCGCCCTCTGGGTGAGAAGGGCGGTAGTTGGTAGAAAACAGTTCCTTTTGTTCAGGCTTTTAATTAGAATACGATAAAGTGGATTTCTACCCCCTCTTCCCCGGTCATCTACTGATCTCAAACATGAGTCGCGCCTCAGGAAACTTATAGTTTATGGAAACCCAATTCGTTTCGGCGATACCTTTTATTAGAATACCATGAGGGGTAGAACGAGTGTTCATCTCCAGCCCCCCCCCCCCCCCATTTTCAAAAATTTTATTTGGCACCACTATAAATGCGTATGCAAAGTTTGAGACCGTAAAAGTTATATAATTTTTCCTTTCAAAAACAGTACCTATCTCAGAAAATAATCTATTGGGGGGGGGGGGGGTTACCTTCCTTTTTTTTACCAAAAATCGACCACACCAAAATTTCTCGCGAAAACACTTTTTCTTATTAATTTTGGTGCGTAGAATTCAAAACGATTCGTACTTTTTCGATTAGACTTCTCAAAAAAAAGTTATAGAAAGCAATTTCCTAAGAAAATTCAAAGGGCTGTAACTTTTGATCTAGTAGCCCAATCTTGGAACTGTTTGAAATTATGGCTTCTACAGGCCACATTCTATAAGAAAATGTTTTTTCCCGATCGATCTGAGACAATTTTTTTTTGGGGCCAAAAAAGGCAGTGTTTTACCTTCCCGCTTTTTTTACCAAAAATCGACTACACCAAAATTTCTCGGGAAAACACTTTTTCTTATTAGTTTGGGCGCGTAGAATTCAAAACGATTCGTACTTTTTCGATTAGACTTCTCAAAAAAAAGTTATTATTTATATTTCGTAAGAAAATTCAAAGGGCGAAAGGGGCAATGTAGAAAATCACGTCCATTTGGAGAACCTAGAAAATACAATCCAGTTGTGAGTACAGTAATATTTCCTTTGTGTCAAAGAGCTCACTGCACTTGTACGAAAGAAGCTTGAGGTCAACCGTAACCAAAAGGTGCAAAAGGATTACTAAATATGCCTGATGAAAATGATTTAAAAAAATATAAAAAAATTCGAAATATACTCTATGAAATACTTATTCAAAAAACGTAAAAACTTAAAAAACTGTTTTGAAAACTTGAAAAATCCAAAAATCTAAACTTTTGTCCTTACCTAAATGAATGCTGTGCTTTGGGTCGATAAGCAGCCTATTAAGACGAGCTTTCTCCAAATGGGGCGTGTTCGCAGGATCTTCTGCATCGGTTTTGAAATAGTGTCATCACCTTCGAACGCTGGCATGGTAGATACCTACAGCTCGAGACCATCTAAACAGTAAAATTGTATTAAAAAGATCAGTTTATTTTGATGGTTTGGTAGGTAAGATTGTCTTTGGGAATTTTGATCAAAGGAATGTTTTATTGAAATTTGAAGGGAATCAAGAATGTTATTAATTGAAATAAGGAATGGTATATGTTTCAATAGGAAAGGTAGGATTCTTAATCATTGAATTGAAAAGAGTCATGTAGGATGACGTAGAAAAAGTATTTAAAAAAGAAAAGTTAATTTTAAAGTTTAAAGAGTCCTATTTCGAAGGGGTTTGTGAAAGTAAAAATTAGAAAAAACTACATAACAGTTTACAGAGTGAAAGGATTTCGGGTCTCATGAGTTCCCACAAATTGACTGTTCTTGTGTCATCATTTTTAGAACGAGGTAGACCTGCCAAGAGAAAAATTGGTTGAGCACACACTCCATTTGCCTGATTTGACACCATCAGACTACCAAGAGTTCAAAACACATTTAAAAGTTTTTGACAATCAATGAAGACATGTGTGCCTTTGAGTTTAAAGAGTTTAGAAGTACCTACCTACTTTATGAACGTTTTCTACTAAATGTGTAACTCTCAGTTGTGTTGAATAAATTGAATTTAGTTTCAAAATAGTGTGGCGTTTTATTTCCTTCTGGGTCAATAATTGAAATGAATGGGTAAAGAAAAACGTCAGTAAAGCTGTGTGTAAAATGAAAGCAGATCAAAGAGCCCTAAGCAATAGTTTTCTCTAAGATAATGTCCAAGTCATTTCTCCGTACAATTCCTGTCAATCTACGCTTGTATAGTGTCATTAAATTAATTTCTTGTACTTACTGTTTTATCAAAAAAAGCTCTTTCTGATGTATATTTTTCTTTTAGATAGTGTTGATGAACATTACCGTGCGCGAGTGTGAACGGGCGTCGTTGTGCTTCGTGTCGTCCCTCGGGTGGCTAATGGTCCTTTTCAAGGGAGAATTCATAAGGCTAAAGGGTAAGTTTTTAATTGCTTTCAAAGCTCTTTCCGATGTAAATTTTTCTTTCAGATAGTGTTATTGAACATTATCGTGCGCGAGTGTGAACGGGCGTCGTTGTGCTTCGTATTGTCCCTCGGGTGGTTAATGGTCCTTTTCCTAGGGAGAATTCATAAGGCTAAAGGGTAAGTTTTTAATTGCTTTCAAAGCTCTTTCCGATGTAAATTTTTCTTTCAGATAGTGTTATTGAACATTATCGTGCGCGAGTGTGAACGGGCGTCGTTGTGCTTCGTATTGTCCCTCGGGTGGTTAATGGTCCTTTTCCTAGGGAGAATTCATAAGGCTAAAGGGTAAGTTTTTAATTGCTAAAATAATCAATAAACCGAATAATTACGGTACAAAGTACTTTGACACAAAGGGCATCTGCTCTGAAGATAGGGGTGCCACACAATTAGCTCAATAGTACAAAAATCATGTTTTATCTTACACGTAAACTGTTTTGATTTATTTTAAATAGCTAATAATGCCTTTTCTTTGTTCCAGATTTCAGAAGGGCAGCCTTTATAAAGGTAGGAATTTTTCTTTTTGCATGCGGGTATATAATATGGTCTATTGCTTTTTATATTTTGTTTATTTAGCAGTGGCGAAAAGTGAATAATGTGCAATAAATTAAGTAAGTATTATACTTAGCTGGCCTTCGAGTTATAGTACTAGGTGAGTTGTTGCCATTATCTTAGTGACATTAAATTTGGCTCCAAATGGTCTTTTTGCGGAATCAGTGTGTACCTACTTCAGACGAGTCAGTATGGCTATGAATTCATACCATATGTGTGAAGTAGACGATTTTCTGTGCGCATCAGACCGTGAAGCTTCGTCTTCAAGCTAAATGATTTCAAGGGCCGTTACACCTCACTTAGTATTATACAAAGATCAGCTTAACTCTCTTTAAAAGAAGGTAAGTGATTAGCGGCATTCGTTTATTACTGAATAATGTGCTTTAACAATTTTTTAATAAACGAAGACAACGCAAATTCTCTTTAAATTGATACTGCTCAAGTGAGCGAGGTGGGTACAAGATATCTTTATAACATAAACCCTAGTCAATCTTCAACTAAACTTCTATTACACTCCTTTCATCCGAACTATACAATTATCTTCGAAACTTCTAAAGTAGTAAAGTTTATTATTGATTATAGTTTGGAAAATTTTTTCATAACTTTTAAAATAATTGGAAATGTGCGGAAAATTTGAGAGTGTGGTACATTTGGAAAATGTATAATAGTTCTGAGAAATGTTGAAAATGCTCAACATTTTTAAGAAGGTTCAACCTCGGGCTGGTCTTTTCCGGACTTTAGAAAGCTAAACGCAGTAACGGAGAAAGACGCATATCCTCTTCCTTACATATCTTCCATCCTAGACAGGCTACACAACGCCAGATATCTTTCGTCCCTCGACACAAAATTAGCGTACTGGTAGATCACGGTGACAGAGAACTCAAGGGGCAAATTGACCTTCACCGTATCATGCCGTGGTTTCTTTGGCTTTTGGCGTATGCCGTTTGGTGTCCACAACGCACCATCCACTTGGCAGCAATTGTCTTTTTCGACCTCCTCTGTCCATCAAGTGGCGGTGAAGATCTTCCAGGCAAACCTTCCGACCGAGTTGCGAAATTTTGGCACAAGGTAGCAAGGGAATTTCAAATCAGAGCACATCGGTTTTTCTGAATGGTTTATTTTTCTAGTCAATGATATAAAATGTGGAAGCAACTTATTATGATAAAGGCCTCTTTTTGCCCCTCCGCTTAAGATCCTGGTGAATTTGACCTATAACCATTTTCACTTTTTCAATGGCGCAACTGACGTCTTCGTCTGTAACCTCCCATTGCAGAACAAACCGAGCTTCCTCGTCGTTAATAAAGCCGCCCTTAACACAGACCTGGACAGAATCCGTTGGGGAAACGTGTGCGAGTTTTTCGAGAAACTCCTTTGCCGTTACCAATTTTGAGTCGAAAGTGATCAGTGCCATGTTTGTTTGTACCGAAGACAAGTCCACGCGTACTATGTCGGACTGCATGTCATCAATTGCTACAAGTGGTTGTTAGAAGAGCAATCTGGGCGTAGCCAAGTTTACCTTTTGCTATTTGTAAAGCGTGGTCGTGATCGATTTGTAGACGATCGATCATTTCGTCTAGTGCCAGTAGACACGCAGCTGCGATTATTCCGACCTGTCTAACATCACCCCCCAGCATTTTTCTCAATCGCCTCGCTCTGGAAATTAACTTATGGTACAATGGACAGCGGAGTCTTTGGCTTACTCGTTAACAAAGCTGGCGGTACCGCAAAGTACGGAACCCATCGGGCACCCCAGTCCCTTACTGAAACAAAAGAAAACAGAATCCATATCTCGCGCTATCCGTTTTGCAGGTACTTTACTCTGTACGACTGCGTTCATGATTCGGGCGCCGTCCATGTGGAGCGGTACCTTGAATTTCGAGGCGATCTTCGCGAGATCGTCTATCCACTCCAGGGGTAGAACCTGGCGGGGGATTTCTTGGGTTAATTTTTCAGGGGGTTGTTGCGTTTACCTTTCCTCCGCACAGGTTATGGGTGTTTTCGATAATTATTAGACCGGTCGTGGCCGACCGGAGATTAACCTCGGGGTGAATACGTCGTTGAAGTTCTTCCAGGCAGAACGTTCCGTCTGGCTTGTTGTGGATTTGCGAACATTGGACTCCGGCAAGTACTGCTGCTCCACCTGGTTGTGCAACAACAAACAAAAACGTTAACCCCTTAAAGTGATGGCAGCTGAAACTACTTACCCAGCTCGCACAGATAACTATGACTCTTATCTCCAGCTATAAATTCCACCCCACGCTTGTTACAATGAACCATTACTGCAAAGAAACGCACCCTTGGTAGAGTTCGTCCAATAATGCCCATCAAAAAACCTACTTGCGATTAGATTACACATTGTTCCCGATGGAAGGTAGATCGCATCCTCTTTTCCCAAAAGATCCGCACACCTTCTTTCCAATTTATCAACTGTGGGGTCCTCTCCAAAGACGCTATCTCCAACTTCGGCAATTGCCATAACGTTCCGCATCGCCTGCGTTGGCTTCGTAATTGTATCGGTACGGATATCCACGATACGCACGCCCTTACCGGAAACATTATTTTGAGGCATTACTAGAGCGATCAAAAAACACTTCTAGGTGTACTGACTAACTCAAACAACTGTTGCTAATAAACACGATTCTCACACTTTATGAATAACCTTGGAGATCCTATTGATCCGGTTCATTATAGCGAGTTCGCGCAGCTGTGCTGTTTAAAAATAACTCGCTTTTCAATGACATAACTGGTCAAAGTACATCAATCGTGTTATGGATACATGTCAGATATATTTACAAACATCTACACCTGCCAAGTGTCTGAATCGTTGAAATGGTGCTACTGCGATTCAATAATAAACTTCGATCGCAATGCAAAGGGGGCGCTAACTGCTCGATCTCTGCATATACGATTCACGATCAATCTAGTAGAAGACATTTTGAAGAATTTAAGCACTCAATTGTGACCCATCCTCTTTTTGAGGTAAATTCATAGTTAGTAGGTCACAATTGAAACTCCTATGATTTTAGTGTTAAATCTAGTTTTAACAATCCTCTCAAATGAAAACACTTTGAGCACGGAAACAGAATGTCGGTTTCCTCTTTATACAAGAAATGAAATTTATAATATAGATATGTTACTCAGCTAGAAGACTTGCGAATTTAATATTGAACTTAAAAAAATTGAAAAACTGGACCTAATACTTCTAAACCAGCCCTTACGCTAATTTTATTTACAACAAAGAAATTACATTTAAGTAGAAGAAATTCTTCGAAATATTAAAAGTGTGCACAGTGTGCCGCTTAAAAACACACAATATGTACTTCAAAAGTGTACACATTCTAATGTTGCAACAAATCTTCAACAGATTCTGCAGCGGCATCTTTTAAGACACAAGTCTTCAATTATTTAAAATGTGCACAGTGTGATTTTGCAACAAATCACCATCATATCCCAAAACGGTATCTTTTAACTCACAAAACCTCAAAGGATTTAAAATGTGCACACTGTAATGAAATTATATGGAAAGGTTGGTCAATATAAATGTATCTATACCTGATTCGCCGGGATAGGCGATACAACGTTCGTGGTGTCTGTCTGCTATTGTTGCGATAAAGCTTCAGGGAATGGGAAATTTTCTGAGTTAGTAAAACACGCCCCGAAATTTCCACGGGAACGGGAAAAAACAGGATTGCATGTTTTACAGTGGAAAAAAGACTTGATGGTTTTAATAAAATTTCTCTTTTGGTTTCTTGACTCTTTGGTGAAGAATACTACACCGCCGTGTTTAATTATATAGGTTGACCCAATATAACGGTCTTAATTTATCAGACTGAGATGTCTAAAACAATTAGATTTCTCTCAAATTATCTCCGGACTAATCCCTACCACTTTCAAAATGGCGGCTAGTAATTAAATGAACCATTTCTTGTTTAGAGCAGCTCGGATCTGCTGTACTCCTCAAAATGCACGCGAGTTAGGCTGTTCCTTAAGAACCCGCGCGCTGCACTTTCTAGGGTCCGTTAACTTGGCCCCCCCACTGAGAGATTTCATTATTATTTTGAAATGAATGCGCTCGTTATGCGCTCATATGCACCACCGATAATAACTCTTGCGCCATTATCGTTTTTTAGAAATCCGAAAAAACATTTGGGGGGGGGGCAAGTGAACGTAGGCCCCCCCCCCCCCAGTACGATATTTGTCCCTTACTGATCAGCGGATGCATTTGGTTATGGCGCTTCAAATGCGCCACTTGAATTAAAGCTAGCGCCATTACGGTTAAGCGTGACAAATTTTCAAACAGTGGGGGGGCCAACTTAACGTTTTTAAAAGTTACTTTTTTTTATCTTTAATACGAAATTGTACTCTCAGGTATGCGCTGAATGCGCCGTAAAAGATATCTTTGCGCCATTATTGTTTTTTGGTTTTTGGTTTGGGATATTAAAAAAAAGTAACTTTTAAAAACGTTAAGTTGCCCCTCCCCACTTTTGAAAATTTTCACGGCTTAACCGTAATGGCGCTAGCTTTAATTCAAGTGGCGAATTGAGCGCATATAACAAATGTATCAGGTGACCTAGTTTACAAGGGACAAAATACGTACTGGGGGGGCTACGTTCACTGCCCCCCCCCCAAGGTTTTTTTCGGATTTCTAAAAAACGATTATGGCGCAAGTTATTTCGGTGCGCATAGAGATAACGAGCGCATTTTTTTCAAAAATAAATAACGACTATGGAAATCTCTCAGTGGGGGGGGGGCCCAAGTTAACGGACCCCACTTTCTACATAATTGCATTCTTGCAATGTAGACCTCACTACTACCTACGTAAATTTCATTTGCGCCTTTTGTTGCCCCATTAACTCTTAGTTATCGCCGATAGTCTGAAGCCCACAATTTCCTAAATTCATCAAAAGATCAACGCGCTATAGAATTCAATTACGTAGAACAAAAATATGATCGCTAACTTTAACGGAAACTATGAACTTCCCCACAAATCTAAATTTGCTAAATTTTGAAATTATCATACTCCGGCCACCCGGGACGCTCCGTTATGGAACTTGTGACAATGTGCCTCCCCGGCGACATTTAACTTTAACTCGAAACTCCAACTGCATTAGTCAACTCGAGTTCCTGGACCGACATATCTGCCGATCCGAAACCGATCACTTTTCGATCTTATCCCAGAGTTTGTGACATAGAACCATCCAGATCCCATCTGATGAACTGGGCAGTAAGTTCGTTTGAGTATTGCGGAGTAATTGAAATTGGGGGCGCTTTAAAAGAAAACACGCCAATGAAATAAGAACACTGCCAATCCGCAGGCTTCTCTTTTCGTAGGGATTTCTCTCAAAGACGTTCACTTCCGAGCTTTTCTTTTTCCGCGAAACCATCCACAAAATGGCGAATAAGGTCCGAATCTTTTAATAATTTGTCGTTTAGTGATACCCCATTAGTATTCGCTGTGATATCCCTCACAAATCCTAAGTTACGTGGATTATTTGAATCGACCATGCCAAGATGGGGTATTACGCATGCGGAAGGCAGCTTCTTCGGGGGCCAATTGACTCGGTTGACCTTCTCCAAGTACTCATTCGCTTTTGCTAGGTATTCACGGGTTTCTGGATGTTTTGTAAATTAGAAAGATGGGTAGGGATTAATTCAGAGAAAAGAAATTTGGGGCATTACGTGTCGAGCCGCGAAAGAGCTCGTTGAATAATTGCGGATAATCAAGAAAGAGATTCGGTTTTTGACCGTTGCAGCTACCAAAAAAGTCACGTAAAGTGGTCGAATGATTCCCTTCGGAAGTGTTAAAGTTCACGGTTAAAAAAGTCCGAAACTCGGAAGCGGATTAAATTTCTTTGGTTAAATTTAAGTCTATCATTATCTTAAAATTGATGTCAGAGATAGCCGTGGGTCTCTGCAGAGAGAAAAAATTGAATTGCGCCCCGGGAAGTTTGTTTGAATTAAATAAAATACGGTACTAGGAAAATGTATAATAAAACATTTCAAATATCAAACATAGTTTGGCTTTTAGACCTGGAACCGAGAGGGTTTTTTGCACGTATCATAGTCCCTACGCGGAGGCTTTGGGGGCTGATAGACAATGTTGTTCTCCACTATGAATTCCCCGTATGGTACCCCTAAAGTGTAGTTTTTAGGAGAAGGGGATGAATTTTCAAACGTGTAATTAATATCCATGCCCCTGTATCATAGGTTTCAGGCGTGGGGCCTATGATACATGTCAAAATCCCTCTCGGCTCCAGGTCTATTTTATCTTCGTCTTATAATCCGAAAACCTCATTGAACTTGCTAGATTTGCTCCTTATCTAAACCGCCATTGTGTATACATAATAAATTCTTGGTACATTCTCCTATTTAAAATATTATGTGAAAGCTTAACAAAATTTTAATCGGACCAAAGAAATGGTATCAGAGCAATTAAATGCAAATTCTCAACTGAAAATAACCAAAGTCCTTTGTCTAGATCCGATTATTAATAAAATGTGATACAATTCTGTTTCTTACAATTGATGTTCACAGGTCGGTTTCTTTAGGAATATCATGGTTATGTTGCGCTTATGAAGTTTAGGCACAAATCAGAGCACAACGCTTTTTCCCGAATGGTTTATTTTGAGTTTACGTTACAAGTCAATGAACATTATTTAATGATGTGGAAGCAACTTGTGACAAAGGCCTCTTTTTGCCCCTTCGTTTAAGATCCTGATGAATCTGACTATAACCATTTTCACTTTTTCAATGGCGCAACTGACGTCTTCGTCTGTAACCTCCCATTGCAAAACAAACCGAGCTTCCTCGTCGTTAATAAAGCCACCCTTTACACAGACCTGGACAGAATCCGTTTGGGAAACGTGTGCGAGTTTTTCGAGAAACTCCTTTGCCGTTACGAATTTGGAATCGAAAGTGATCAGTGCCATGTTTGTTTGTACTGAAGACAAGTCCACGCGTACTATGTCTGAGTGCATGTCATCAATTGCTACAAGTGGTTGTTAGAAGAGCAATCTGGCGTAGGCAAGGTTACCTTTTGCTATTCGAAAAGCGTGATCGTGATCGATTTGTAAACGGTCGATCATTTCGTCTAGTGCCAATAGACACGCAGCTGCGATTATCCCGACCTGTCTAACACCACCCCCCAGCATTTTTCTCAATCGCCTCGCTCTGGAAATTAACTTATGGTACAATGGACAGCAGAGTCTTTGGCTTACTCGTTAACAAAGCTGGCGGTACCGCAAAGTACGGAACCCATCGGGCACCCCAGTCCCTTACTGAAACAAAAGAAAACAGAATCCATATCTCGCGCTATCCGTTTTGCAGGTACTTTACTCTGTACGACTGCGTTCATGATTCGGGCGCCGTCCATGTGGAGCGGTACCTTGAATTTCGAGGCGATCTTCGCGAGATCGTCTATCCACTCCAAGGGTAGAACCTGGCGGGGGATTTCTTGGGTTAATTTCTCAGGGGGTTGTTGCATTTACCATGCCGCACATATTGTGGGTATTTTCGATAATTATTAGGCCTGTCGTAGCCGAACAAAGGTGAGGCTTGGGTTGAATACGTCGATGAAGTTCTTCCAGGCAGAACGTTCCGTCTGGTTTGTTGGAGATTTGCGAACATTGGACGCCGGCGAACACTGCTGCCCCACCTGAGTGATAACAGATAATGTTATTTGGTTATGCAACAACAGAAAACCATAGAGCTGGAGCTACTTACCTAACTCGTACAAATAACTATGACTCTTATCTCCAGCTATAAATTCCAT